CACATTCTGAACGTCGGTGGTTTTTGTGCGAGGACGACGTTGGCCAACCATGTTGGGTACTTCACCTCTTTGATGTGTTTGATTGAGAGGAGCATGGCGACCTCCCCTTTGACGAAGTCCCGCCTGTCGGCGGACAAGTAGCGCCGCTTCTGTTTGACCGGCGCGGAGGCCGGATCGACGGTCAGCCGGTGAGTGATCACCTGGCGGCTGATGCCTGGCATATCGTCCGGGCCCCACGCGAAGACAACGGCGTATGACCGTAGGACGAGGAGGATGGCGTCTCGTTGGTCCTGGGGGAGTTGCTTTCCGACCCTGAGAACCCGCTCCGGCCGGGAGGTATCCAGGGGGATTTCCTCGACCTCCTCGGCCGGCTCCGCATGTGGCCTCTCCTCGTCCATGGCGACGACGGCCGTAATGGTGTCTATCCGCTGTCCTTCCCTTTCGGTCGGCCTCGTTAGCTTGAGGTAGCAAGCTCTGGCTATCCTCTGATTTCCTCTGGCGTAGCCGATGCCGTCATTGGTGGGGAACTTCAAGCATAGGTGCTTCATGGAGATGATGGCCTCCAAGTCCTCCAGCGCTGGCCGGCCCAAGATCAGGTTGTGGGCGCACTGGAGGTTGACCACCATGAACTCCATGTCAATTTTGGCGTGGTGGGGGCCGTCACCGACTTCCACGGGGAGGACTATCGTGCCCTCGGCGTCGATAGAGTCCCCGGTGAAGCCGGATAACGGGGTCTTGATCGGCTTCAGCAAAGCTCTGTCCAGCTTCAGCTGTTTGAAGGTGTCCAGGTACATCACGTTGACGGAGCTCCCCGTATCGATGTAAGTACGGTGGATGATGGAGTCACCGATCTCACATCGGATGACGAGGGCGTCCCTGTGTGATTCCGTACCCGGAGGCAGATCCTTGTCGGTGAAGGTGATCGCCTCCGTTCGCTGCCTCTTCGGCTGGGGGGAACGTGGGACACCTCCCCAATGTAAAGGGATTGGGCCCATTTCTTTCTCTGAGTGGCGGAGTCCCCCCCAGTGTTTCCACCTACGATGAGGTGGATTTGATTCTTCTTCGGCGGAGGCTCTTCGAAGTCCTCGTCGTCGCTGAGTCTACCAATCTCCCGCTTCTTCGCAGAGGGTTCGCCCCCATGTTTGCCGGTGTTTACCCAAGTGTTCTTGCGTGGGCCACCTTTGACAAACTGGGAGAGTTCCCCCTGGCGAATAAGGCGTTCGATGGCCTTCTTCAATGTGATGCAATCTTCGGTGTTGTGCGACGAGTTCTTGTGGAACCGGCAGTATGTGCCGCCCTGCTGGATGGCAAGGATCTCCTCGGCCGGCCGAGGAGCCTGCTCGATGAGGCCGTGCTTCTCGGCATAATCGAGGATGGTGCCGACCGGGTGGGTGAGGGTTACCCCCGACCGTTCCAGCCTCGGCCGCCAGTGGCGGTCTTTCTTGCTTTGTCCACCAGAGCCGTGGCGGCCCTGGGCACCCTGGCCGGCCGGGGACGAACCCGGGGCCGGCGAAGGATTTGTCTTCTTGGGGGGATGGCCCCCCTCTCTCTTGTGATTGTGGAGCTCGTCGGCGTCGGCATACAAGCCTCCGCACTGGAGCGCCTTGGCGTACGACCTCGGGGGGTCGGTGATGAGGCTCCTAGCGTACGGGGAGCTGCGGAGGGCTCCCTGGTACAAGGCGAGGAGGGTGCGCTCATCGGCCCCCTCGACCTCCTCGGTCTCCCTCGTCCACCGATCGATGAATGACCGGAGGGACTCCTCGTGCTGCTGCTTGACGGAGAGGAGGTGGGTGAAGTACTTCTTCGCGCGCTTCCTCCCGGCAAAGTGAGTGAGGAAGCGCTGGGCGAGATCCTGCCATGAGTCGATGCTTCCTTCTGGGAGCCCGTTGAACCACTCGTACGCTGGCCCCTCGAGAGTAGAGAGGAACCAACGGCAGAGGTATTCGTCGGACGCGTTCACCATCAGCATGTTGTTCTGGTAACGGCTGAAGTGTTCCTGGGGGTCTGATCGGCCATCGTAGGTCTTGATGGCGTTCCCCCTGTACTTCTCAGGGATGGGGGCCGAGAGGACCCTGTTGGTGAAAGGGGTCCTCGTCCTGACCGGGATGATGGGGTCACCCCGCCCTTCGGCCAGCTCCCTCTCCAGGGCGCTAACTTTGTTCATGAGCGCGTTGAGGCCGGGGTCGTTGGAGGCGCCGGCCGTAGGGATGTTGGCCGACTGCTTGGCCTCCATCTGAGCTAGCCTCCTCTCCAGTTGGGCGATGACCTCGTCCCGGGGGTCCCTGCCGGCCGTAGCGCCGCCCGGCTGGTTCCTCATGCGCTCGTTGTGAGCCGCGTTGATCTGGTGACGCACGTCATCCTCGTGCAACTTTCCCTTGCCCTTGTCCGGGCGGGGCTGGTCCGCTGTCCGGGACACAGACCCCAAGCTTTCCCTTGGCGAGCCAGGACGAGGATCACCGATCCGTCCCGCCATCCTCTCCGAAACCGGACGACGGCGCGTGTCACCTAGCCTATTGAAGGCAGAGGCTTTTCCACGCGCTGGGGTCTGCCCGGGCCGAAGAGGGGAAGCAGGGTGGGAGTGGGACGACGCCATGTCCTGGGGCACCATCCCCTCATCGTTGCCTATCTGGACGGCCAACGGTTGGTGCTGAGGAGGTTGAGTGACGTTCCCCCCGGTCCTTGGCAAGAGTGCGCTGAGGACGGTGGGGTTCTGAGCCAAGCTGGCGATGATAGCCGATAGTGCGGCCTGGACCTGAGGATCTACGGACGGAGAGGCCGCGGCCATAGGCTGGGCCGGGGCGTGATCCGTCTTTTCAGCTCGCTTCTTGTCCAAGCCGAGGCGGGCATCAGGGGCGCCGCCGTTGAGTTGGTTGCGGAGGTCCGTTGTGAGGTTGAAAGCCTCCTGGAAGAGATCCCCTCCGCCGGCCTGGTCGGCCGTGGCATCCTCATCGTGCTCCCTGGGCTCTTGGTCCTCAGGGATGACTTTGCTGACGAGGTTGCGGTTTGACTTAGTTCTCCCCATGATCAGTGGTTAGCTGTGCTTGGTAGCGACGAAGGGTGCTAACTTGATTGTTCTAGCTCTCAACGAGAGCACCAAATGATAGAGTATATCTAGAGAGAAGTGAGAGCTAGAGAGAGAAGTGCAATAATATGCTTCAATAGAATGAATTTGTAACCCCTATAACTACTCCCAAAGGGAGTATTTATAGAGAAAATTAGGGTTGGGCTCCCAAGCCTTGGGCTCGGGAGGCCCATTTACAACTGGACCGCTACTGGGCCGAATACAAAGCCACTAATGGGCTGTACAAATGAGTAAGTATAAAATCCGATTCTGTGAGGTCTTCGTGGCCGACGAGGGCGTGGCCGACGAGGGAACGGCCGACGAGGGCACGGCCGACGAGGGCACCCGGGTTCCTTGGACTCAGGACCATAATCCGAGTTGGCCCCTTCTCGGCCGACGGGGGCGTCCTGGCCGACGAGGGCGCCACTCTGTGCCTTGTGCTTTCTGTTCTTCCGAGTATGTGGGTCCGGGGGCTCAGACTCATATACTCCATCAATTTCCTATTTGCTTTTTGATGAGATTTTTTGGGAAATAATATTGTAGTGAATTTTATGTAATTTTCTTCCTAGCAACATTGATACTTTACAAGGCAATACATTGACACAATCGATGGGTAGGTTCTCAAACACACATACAACACATTGACACATTCAGATAAGTGGTTCCATGTTTTCTTATTGAGTGCGGGAGTGGCGTGTCATATAAACCATTTTCACATCATGCACAGGCCAATATTATAGTCACAGGCTATGAAGCACGGAAACTTCTCACTCACATTTCCCTGATTCCTAAATTTGGAAACGTGTCGGAAACTCAGAAACTTCAAAATCTCATTACGGGGCCATTTCCGTAATTAAGAAGAACGCAAACCTGTTTCTCTAAATAATTAGCTTTTCGGAAGTTTGGATTTCCAATTTGATTTTTGATGGGATTTTTTTGGGAAATAATATTGTAGTGAATTTATGTAATTTTCTTCCTAGCAACATTGATACTTTACAAAGCAATACATTCCTATAAATGTATGTCACTCTATGCTTAATGTGTCTATTCTTAATCCTAAATGGAATGGAATGTCGGAGGGAATAGGGATCCACATCAATACACTTATTTAGATAGGTTCTACGGGCCCTTCTTAGTTCCTAGTAATGACTTAACGAGTTCGAGGATTGGAGAGGAGATGTGTACTAATTCCAAGTTTGAACATGTAGAATGTTTTTATTATAGGTGATGAAAAATATATATGAAAATAAGTATGTGCATATAAATATCAATGAGAGAACATATATACATATATGAAAACTTATTTATAAGGATCCTTATATTCTTTAATATTTACGTGTCTTGTGTCCTACGGAGTATATTTTTAGACATTCAATTTTTGCATTTTACGTTTCCCATTTCATTTTTCCGTGTTACTTAGGTCTTAGGACATTGACATTATTCTTGTTATGGTTCTTTTAACATCGATCTTTATTTGTACTTAAGATCCCTTTGGCGTCAAGGAAAATTTTCTAAATTCCAAAACTCCCAATTTATCTCGAGTAACCTTTGTTTGAAATAGTAATTCATTACGGAGTATACACTGCTACATATAAATTTGTTAGTGTAAATAACAATGGTTAAAGATGAGCATTAAAGACAACAAAAGTCAAAAGAAGAACTTTAAATAAGGATTTAGGTAGTATATAAAGACCAAAAAGGGCTAAAAATATGTAAACTTTTAAAAGGTTATGAACAAATTTGGTTTTCCTTCATACATGTAAAAAACCCATTTAAAAATATATTATCCTTGGCATTGTTTCCCTCTCTCTACCACCTTCCTGGATCCAAACATAGCCCAAGAGAACTCATGATACTAAAATTTGCAACGGTTAAAATACACTAGGTGAGACAATAGACATAAAATTCTAACATCAGCGTAATGAGTTTAGCAACCTACCTTGAAAGGCAAAATGTTCAACTTTTCCAAACCGGGGGCCATGCTTAAAACTTTCTTCCCATGATCAGGATCATACAAGTCCCTCTTTTGTGTAGGGTGACCCATTCCTGCAGGGTCACGTCCAACAATATAGAAATTTGCACCTGCATTTATCCGAGCCTTAGAATGCCATTGTACTTCAGTTGGTCCAGCATAATGCATAGGCGAGGGAAATATGGCAACAATAGTTGTTTCTGGATCAAGAACTCCATCTTCTAGCACCTAAACACATATAATTTTTCCATGGAATATGATAAAAGGACTTCAGAAATCATAAATGGAAAACCGGATGAACAAGAAATTTGTTATCCACACAGACATTCTCATTCCCTATATACTTGTATGGTTTGTGTGTTTTTGGGGAGGAAGGGAGGGGGGATAAACTTTGAAAAATTTATTAGTTAGTTTAAGAATTAGTTAGTAAAAAAAACTTGAACATGAAAGTTTATATAAATATACATTCTTTAACCAAAATGTACTACATCGGTCTCTTATACCTTCCTACTTTGACTTTCACGTAGAAACTTTGAAAATTTTATTAGTTAGTTTTTGCATTTAAATGGTAAAGAAAACTTGAAGATGAAAAATTATATAAATATACATTCTTTAACTAGAATATATTGCATATGTCCCTTATATCTTCCTATTTTGACTTTCACGGATTCTAAGAAAATTGGATTTTTCTTTGACTTCAAGAAACGCCTCTGTTATACATGGGAATCATAAATGTACAGACATTATACTTTTTTGACATTGTTTCAACACTATTGTATGTTGTAGAGCTACTACTGATCAAATTAGAAGTGGATATCATTTGAGGGTAGTAAGGTAAAAATTGATAAGATCTTTTGGCAAATAAATAAAAGACTTTATTTTGGAGAGTTCCAAAAAAGAATACAAGACTAAGAAATAGGGAGAGAGGTAGTCATCATTTTCCAGTCATAGATTAATAAATAAATATATACTAGTTAAACAAAAATCAACCCCCCTTCCATCTCCTCAAAATCCTTCAATCGAACACACTCTAAATGAGATATTGCAAACATAGGACCACTGACAATAACAAAAGGGAAATAACTATTTGGGACCCCAAACTGTCCTTGATATTGCAATTTACTCCCTCATTGTGAATTTGTGAATTCAGCCCCTTCCACCCTATTGCTATCACTGTTATTGAGAAGATAAAGAAAAGAATACACAAGCTACCGAAAACTGCAAATATGTCTAGGTTGAAATGTTGAATGGCTACAGAATTATGCTATCAGGGGCTACATTGACATCTTTAATGATTGAGAGGATGAACTCCACCAAATCAACAATGAGATACTACACTGCCTAATCCAGAGCAAATGAAGGGACCAATATAGTAATTTTCCAAAGGACAAAGAGGTACCTTGCTATGTTGTTCCAATCGAACGTCCAAAGGCACATCATCTGCCTTTGTGAAACCACCTAAAGGGTGAAGCAAAAGGATTGGATTCTTATAACCTATTTCAAGAAGGTGCCTGCGTGTATCATTCATAAGCAAAGCATGACCGTTATGGACGGGATTCCTTAGCTGGAAAGCAAAAACTGCATCTGCCTTGCGACGCTCAAATTCATTGCGAAGTTGTTGAGGAGAGAGCCTGTATTGATCAAGGCCGTCATTATACTTAATAGGCTTTAACACTTCCAGATCTCCACCAACAAGCCAATTTCCAGCAGGAGTAATCACCTCCTCAACGTATGGTAGTCCGGGAGTTGTTGTGCCCCATGTTCTCGCAATTCTCTCCTCTTTGTTATGCTTATATATTTCAATGCTGCAATGGATAAAATGAAATTTATGAGGAAATTTCGTCTTTATGGTAACAAAACTTGCATTTCCAAAAAGAGTTCAGTTTCACCATTGTATACAACCTTTTACTTTTGGTTATGGTACAGCTGGCATATATGATCAATAATATCCTTTTTTTAATTTATTTATCGGTTTAACTAAATCTTTCATAAGTTAACATGTCTTTTTGTGACCCTTATTTGCATTTCTGGGCAACATACATGAAAAAATAGCTTCGTTAGAACTGTTTCATTCAGGGGAGAAAAATAAGTGTTTGAACCTAGATTTGTATTCTCAAATGTGAAGCTTTGTTAAAGATTTATAAGATGAATAAAGCAGCCCTGATTGTGGGGATTCAAGAATATGTTTATAATCTTAAAAAGATGTTCATTGTCAGTATAAAAACCAAGTAACACATTGTAACATCTTTGGGTTTACAACTATGCTACTATTGACACTAGATAGGGATCGAAGTGTAATGTGAAATGTGAGTGGAAATAAATAAATAGTCATCTTTATAGAAAAGCACAAAATTTTCATGTACCAACATTCTAGAACACTTCATCCACCCGGAACAAAAATGAAAGATCCAATTTTCCATTTCTAACAACTCAAAAAGCACAAACCTAGTTAATAAAGAGTGTTCAGACCGACCTTCTAAGAACAGCAATCAAATCATCACCCGGTTCAACAAGAGCAACATCTCCCGACCCGCAAATCCGTTCTTTAGCCTCTTCATCAATGGCTAGAACAATCGGGAGCGACATATTAACTATGGACCCATTTTTCAATCTCAAGCAATTGAAATGCAAGCTCTGCAAATACTCATCCTCCCTCATGAACCCTCGCAATGGGCTGGCCCAACCCTCGCTAATCACATGGACCCACTCAACATCAATCTTGGTGAGCTTCACTTTGGGAAGAGATTCGGCCTCCGAAATGACGGCGGCCCTTCGACCCTTTGGCACCACAAGATCCACCAGATTTCCCCCATCCGCCTCGATCAAAGAACTCTTCACTGCGTTCACAGAACTCATCCTCCTGGTACGGGAGAAAACCAATGGCGCAAACGGGTTGGAATGGTGAACGGGTCTAAACTTAAATAAGGTGGATGAGTTATGAGCTTTCTTGGATTTACTGCTACAGAGATGGGCAGTGCTAGCGGGTGTCGTCACGTGTTACCTAATTGTAACGGACATTTCTGTTGGAAAATTAATGTATTTAAAATAAATTATTTATTTTGCAATTGTAACGGATGTTTAATCGTTTGACCGCACTTATGGGTTTTGTAACGTGCACATGAGGCTGACAAAGTTTACTTGGCTTAGCATTTTTCTCTCCATATTTTAAGGATCCAAAACAACCATCCGTTATTCAATTCCTTTTCTATTTATTGTTATATTAATAATAGAACGAGACATACTGGAGTACTTGGCAAAATACGAACTTAGAACTCTTTGGCTTGAGAATATCTTCTCTGCAAACTCTATCTTCACAAAAAGCTTTTATTAAAAATGATTTCTTTTCAAAGCTTGTGCTGGATTAGTATAGTGTTTATCTTCCTCGTAGTTCTGGTACCGACTATTAGTTGAAGGGCTTGTTATATCCTGGGGGAAGATTTTCGATTACCGGAAATACTTTCAGAGGACAACGTTTACACGTCTCGAGTCGTTGATTTTCTTATTAGCCTTCTTTGCAGGTGTATCATTGTGATGGAATTGCTAGCGCTATGGACCCGCGGCAGAACTCATTCAAATATACATGAAGACGAAATAAGTTGCTGCCATGCAATTACTAAAGAGGATGATCCGGATGAGTCTCCATGCTGCTGCAAACTGCCGGAGAGAAAGAAAGAAGCTGTTCGCCGGAGTACTATGTGTCAGTCGGCCAGAACTATACTGCTAGGAGCAAGTGACAAAAGAATATCCCCAACAATTTCTAGGGGACGAATCTCTGCTTGTGACTGTTAGAATCGAAAGGCAAAAAGGATGAAATATTAGGTGGAGAAGGGGCAGCCGCAGCTGTGGGTGGAACAATGGTAGCAGACTTGCGGCGATTGTCGGCAATTTGGTGGTGGACATCATTTTACTATGGGATTGGGATATATCGCACGTTGGAAAGGCGATGACTGCTTTAGACTTTCTGAACTATGCCGCTGGATTTCATTTTGTCATATAACAGGCCCTACACAAAAACTAAAGGGGTGTCCCCAACACGGATGTTAAGTGATTTTAAAGGATCGTACATTCTATGAATTTTAATGGAATTTTACATATTCTATGAAATTCATATGGTTTTCTATGGAATTCTATTTCATGGAATCATTTGGATTTCAATGCATTTTAATAGATTTGAAATATAAGCCGGTGCAAACCATCGTCGAAAATGTCGTCGGAATATTTTGATAAAGAATTTTATTAGTTTTTTTTCTTTTTTTAAAAATTAATTGGGAAATGTTAACAATAAATTGGCTTCAATTTAGTCATATTTAAAGGAAAACCTCAAATTGAAATATAACAAACTAATTGATATTTAATCCATAATCAAAGCACAACCTTAAACAATTAAGAATCGTACTAAAGTAACAAAAGGAATACATTCAATCTACGTGATCTTCATTGATAACATTCGTCCACATTTGTTGTGCGATACTATTTCTCCATTGATTTGCATAAGATTTTTCTGGAGAGTCTTCATCATCTGAATCAACACGAAATTCATCTGAGCAACACTCTTTGCATAGAAAGTTATGCACTCCTGCACAAGCCAATACTAACTGCGCTTGCATTTTGAATGGGAACGGAGGGGCTGACTTAAAAATCACAAACCGTGATTTAAAAAGGCCAAATATTCTCTCAACAACATTCCTCAAGGAAGCATGACGTAAATTGAATAACTCCCTTTCATTTTCAGGATGATGATCTTGCCCACCAAAATCTTGAAGATGATATCGAAGACCTCGAAATGGAGCCAAAAATTGACGACGATTTGCAAATCCGCAATCAACTAGAAAACTCTTCCCTATATGACAAATGAAATACATGATAAATAACTATACGACACAAATACAAAATACATTATCGTGATAAAAATGATGCTTACCTCATGAAACGTTTAACTCATTTCTTCTTGTTAGTGCATCATTTAATAATTTTGAATCATGAGCTGAACCTTCCCAACCACTAAGAATATAAATGAGCTGCAAGTCAAAATTACAAGCCGCCAACACGTTTTGTGATAGGTTTCCATGGCGATTACGGTAAGGTATACATGTACCATCAATTGCTCCAATACAATTCTAGTGAGAAAATAAATATTAATATTTTTAAAATTATAATAAAAAATAAAAGTTTTATATGAGTAGTAAATGATTACCTTAAAGTAAGGATAAAACTGTGTACTCTCTCTAATTTTGCTAGATACAGCAGCTGCCAGTTTCACCATCATCATGGATGAAATTGTGTTTAAAGCTTTCAAAATTTTGTTAAAACTTCTGCTAGTAATAGAATGTGCTCTACCAAATGTCTTGCGTGTAATACAAAAACAACTGTTTTGACCAATCGTAAGTAAAAATGTCGCAAGCATTTCTTCCACGCAAACATAAAGGGTATCTTGAAGCGGTGTTTTTCCCCTAATGATGCTACAAAGTTTTAGAAAAACATCGGGATACATCCTATGCATTTCTCTAAAATGCACAGGATCTTAAGTTTATATCTGATAAAAATGTGGCTTTCGATCTGTATAAAAATGCTATGGAGTACTACGTGATACACAACGTATTAATTTAAACGAGTTTTATATTATTGAATTTAGAAAAAATCTTTCTGTACGTACACACAATTAATGAATTAGTACACAATTTGTACACAATCCCTCTAGTTGCCTGTGTATACAGGTACTTCATTTATAAAAGAGCAGGACTTTATGCTAAAATGTATGTTTACACAGGCAGTTTACAATTTGTGTACACCAAGAATTACTCTTGAATTTAAATAAGCGAACTAAACATATGTGTTTTGTCACTTTTTATGAAGATCAAATAGTCAAAGTCCCAATATTTTCAATTAGACTTATTTCAAATTAGATCAGACCATATCACATCACATCAAATTTAAACCGATTAGATTAGATTAGACTAGACTTAAATAGACCAGACCAGACCGGATCAGACCTGGACAAATATAAATATACATAGATCAGACATATGCAAGACCATAAAAGACCAAACCATACTGAAACAGACCAAATCAGATTAGATCAGACCATACCAAAAAAATGTAGTCCAATAAAAAAATTTCGTGAATCCTATAATTTAAAGAGGGTTAACTTAATGTATTTATTGAATTAATTTAGGGAAATCAAGTATTACTTTTCGATATATTTCATATAACTGAACGTAAAATTGTTGATAGTATGACAAAAATATAGTTTATAAATATGTTTATTTTCTTTTCAAAAAAAAACTACATTTATTTTTTAAAGCAACACTTCAAAAGTAAAGGTTACATAATACTTAATATTATGTAACATTGTAGAATAGGTGTTGCATAATTATATCATCTAGATGTTTTTGCAACACGTTGTAGATGAGATTGCTCCATTTCCTCATGAATCTGCTATCTAAGGGCCTGTACTGGGGGTGCGAATACCATTGAGATTGGTTGTAGAATTCTTCACTGTGCCCGCCGTTGTAGCTGGTCCCTGGTGTGTAGTAGCCGGTTTCATCGAGGAGGAGGTGGTAAAATGTTCATGTATAAAATGAACATGTTTGTGCACCATTGTATTAAAAATACTATTGCGGGAAAACACAAATGGGCATAACGTAAAATACACGTAGACACGGATGAGCCACCCTTAAACAAGAGTTTATGCCTACAAAAACTAGAATTATTCCTAAATACTATTGAGGCACGAGTACATCTCCGATTTGGCCCACGCATAATGTGTATGGGCATGTCCTTACTCTTTAACATACATAATTATTATGATTGAAGTACATAACCTATTGTTACAAATCTACACTTCAGACACATGTAAAAAATCCGATTATACATGATATATACACTATCTTAGCATCTTATATATGTTCTTCATATCTTATATAATTATATATTACTCCCTCCGTCCCTTAAAACTTTACCAACTTTCCTTTTTGGATGTCCCACTAACTCTGCCATGTTCCCCTTTAAGTAAAGAATTTGTGGTTCCAGTTAATTCTCTCTCCTCTGCACAAACCTCAACCACATAGTTTTTACTTTATTAATCCTCGTGCCGGTCAAACCTGGCAAAGTTTTAAGGGGCAGAGGGAGTACAATCTAATCACATGACACATACAAGGGTTATAATGCCTTTTCCCAACGCGATAATACACTTTTCGAACGTTCAAGCCTAATCATATATATAATTCAGGATGATGATTTTACATGAATAAAAATATAAAATGAGTTGTTTAAGGTTACGTTTTGTGTAATGAGTGTCGAATCTCTGCTACAAGCAAAGAGTTTGACAAAAAAAGAAATTAAAAAAGCAATGGTGAGAGGGGAAAGGGAGGAGAGAGAGAAGGTACATAAGCTAACCGCAATGGGGAGGGGTGAACCCTCCCAATTGTGAGGTTTCCACCACAAAAGAGCTGCAACCCAGCTAAAAAACGTATAGAGAGGGCACAAAATGAATGGGGGGGTCGTAAGGGAGGAGATGTGTGCGACGCTTTCACCCTAGCACATGGCTGACATGCGCAACTAAAAAACAATGGGTCCCTCAATTGTGAAGCGGCTGACATGCGCAGGAGGAAAAGTAGTGGCCATGGTTGCTTGTGATATCCTTGCGGGTGAAGACCCTGCCTTGCTGAAAGGTAGCAAACGAGTTCAATAAATTGAATTTGAAAAAAACAGTATTTCATTGTTTTGTTGGATTTGTAATCGTATTTCACTGTTATTTAGTTATTTTTAATGAATTATTTTCTTTTAAGTAAATTAAATTTGAGTATTTGTATTTCACTGTTTTGTTATTTAGTATTTAGTATTTGAGTATTTATTTCTAATTGAACTCAAGTGTGCATTTTTAATGCTTACAAAATAATTAATTCACATTTTTTACATCGGAATGTTTGACTTTTTAAATCTTAACTGTCGGTAAAAATAAATTGCCACATAAACACTGTGTAATAAAAAGTAAGGATTTATGCATTTAATTA